TGAACTCTGAGGAGAAGGGAGCAGGTTTGAGGAACAGGGAACGGATTTTTGCCAAGAGAACCTGAACTGCATCTGCATCCACCAGCAAATATCTGGATGAGGATAATAGGCAAATCTGTAAAAAAGCATTCCTGTCTTAACTGCTTCTGATCCCCAGGATGGGATTGACACTTTTCCACTTCTTGTCCCTGGGACAACAAGTTTTGGACTGGGACGTTCTACTGGAATTAAGATGTGACACTAGAATTACTTCCTCATCACCTGGGTTATCAAGATATTTTGGACACCTCCTCGTCTCCTTGGGGGAAAGATTTCTGGACACAGAAAATTGCCTAAACAGGAGATTATAATGTTGGACTTTTCTCTCTGCCTATAGTCTCCTTCAGTTTTCTCAGAAAGAGGAGACAAAAATCATCCTCCAGCTTTCTGGATTGGTGGGAGGGAGGAATTCTTCAGCTTCAGTAACCAATCAGTGAAGCAGTGGAAAAGTCCTGGATCCTTCCTGGGGCACTCATGCTGGGGAAAAGGAAGGGAGAAGCACCAAACATTTCCAAGAATGGGGTGGGGAAAAGAGAACCTGAAAGATGAGGTAGCATGAAAACTAGTTCTGGATAGGTGAGAGGCAAATAATCCAAAACTAGACAAATACATTTACATAACAATAGAAATGAGAGGAAAATATGTTGCTGCTCAAAAAGATAATCCTCAAGCCTGTCCACTGTGGGCAAGAGAAAAGGAATAGAAGAGTTTGAACCTTGATTTTACTGTAAATGGGACTTTCATTTGACACCTAGCAATTACATGAGTTGTTTCCTAATATCTACCTTACTTTATGCAATAACCCTACTTATTAAAGATCTGCCTTATTAAATTCCTGCCTGTGCCATCCCAGTTAATAGTGTTTGCAAAGAAAAAAAAAAACTGTCTTTGGATGCTGCCAGTTCAAGAGGGAAAACACTGTTTTAATAACAGTATAGCTAGGGACAACTTAAATGTGACTCATTCATGGATGGAAAACAAAATGGGGGAGGGAGGGGAGGGGGAACAAACAAAAGATGGTGCTAGGGCATGTTTGTGCCATAGTTAGATGCAAATGAGGACAAGGACTTTGAGCTAGGACAAGGTATTTTATTTGATGCTAATTAGCTCCACCGGCTCTACTCATCAAGGGCAATAACTCTTGTTATAGACGAGCATCCCTCGGGCTTCTTTCATTGCTGGAGACAACTCTTCCACTTTTTGACCTGCATCCCATGACACAAAGTTTTCTATGCTTCTATTCTGTTGACTGAAAAACGGGTTTGATCTTTGGACAAAGCTCTGGACTTTTGGACCGATGACTAAAATATCAGATTTTATCTTCTTAGCTGTTATTACAAACTGATTTTCTGAGATTTATTTTTATTCAGGCTTTCTAATTACTGCCTCCTTTACAACCTCTAACGTATATTACCGCTGCCTAAACCTCAACTATGTAGTGAGTTACCGCTAAGACGATACCAGACTAAGAACTCAGGGGTGGGTTTCTACCGGTTCTGTCTACCTCTGTAGAACCGGTAGCTCTAAAGAGCAGCAGACATAGAACCGGTTCTATGTCTGCTGATGTTTTTGCCCACCTGCCCACCCAGGCTCTTACCTGATCTTTATTTCCTGATTTTTCAACTTCAGCTGCCGAACGAGGCACAGCTGCAGTTAAAAAAACAAGAAAAGAGGGCTGTTTCAAAGGCTGCTTCTTGGCAGCAGCGTGCTAATGACGGTTAACAGGCACGCGGCTCACAGCGGGGCAGGGAAGCTCATAAATCCGGAAACGGTAGTTAACCCTGTCGTATCCCACCCCGTAAGAACTAATTACCATTTATTCTTGCTTTCTCTCCATTGTGGTATTCATGTCTTCAAAAGAAAAATGCAAACAAATTTACTTAAGATGAAGTTTCAAAAGGCAACTACACTTTCTGGGTGTTCTTCCTTGAAATATTTTGCTTCTCGTCCAAGAAGTTTCTTCAACTCAAACATTTTTAAAGAAAAGAACCAAGAAAGTCCACTTGCTTTTTGAAAAAGCACCTTTGGGACAAACATGACCTGGATGACTAAGAATCTCCATAGACATAATGGTGCATTGTTCCCAGATGCAATATAGAGCTGTTCAAGGTTCACTGCCGATGCCACAACCATTGTTAACCATCATATCTTCATGATATATCTGACATTTCTAGCCTAACACAGAGGCTGCTGAAATATATTCAGGTGGTTAGAGTTGTTTTTTTCTTCAAACATAAATCTTCCTAAATGATAAGTGATTCTTCCATGATACTAGGGATATTGAGATCTGCCCAGTTCCTATTGACCATTTTAGGCTGCTGTTGGCTTGTGCATACCCTCTGATCATGTTGCATTGCCCTCCATGGGCATTTTGGTTCAGGCTGCAGGACTGAATTGGTTTTTACAAATAGCAACACGCTTACTTTTCAGACTAGAAGGAGAAGAGAGAAATGCTATTTTTAAACCTACCACATGTACTCAAGACCACAAGATTTAACATCTACTCTGAAAAATGGTAACAGATGAAAAGGGAACAATTTTAGTTCTTTTGCTGTCTTGCCTATCACCTTCCCCCACCTCCTTCCTATGATTTTTTTTCCATCCTTGGACTGGCACAGTATATTTTTATGCCATCACTACCAAACAGGGAGATTTTGGTCTCATCACTCCAAATGACACTGTCTCATTGTTACTCTGTCCAGGTAACATGGGTTTTAGCTTAGTTTAGTCTTTTCAACCTTTGTTTGAGAGATAAAAGTGGCTTTTTTCGTGGAATTCTAGATTTTAGGCCAAATTCCTGCAGTCTGCACTGGACAATCCTTGCACTCAACTTCACATTGCATTGTGCCATTTCCTCTTGTATACACCCAGATGATTTTCTTCTACCACATAGGCACAGTCTCTTAATTCTTCTATCATCACTTGCTGTTGTGCACCTTTTCCTGCCTTTACCAATGTGGTTTTGTAGTGACTGAGTCTCCTTATACCTCTTCAAAAACTTAGAAATGCCACCTTTGGTTAAGTTTTCACCAATTTTTCTTCTAATTTCTTTATAACTGTAGCCTTGTTCACTTAATAATACTATTTTACATCGCTTTCTGGGCAACTAATCAATTCTTTGCACCATTACTTTAATTTTATTACATTTTACAAGCTTACTAAATGAAAGAACACCAAAAAAAATCCAACCAACTTGATAGCAATCACATAACACACTGACAAGTGTCCTCCTCTCAGCTTCAATACATGACATCAATAACTGAATCCTACTGTGATCTGATTGGCTCATTGCCAAAACAAGATGATACCTGATTGGCTCTCTAAACACTCATGCTCATTGGCTACCATCAGATGAAGGAAAGCCACCTGATATCAACCTAAGCAAGTTGTGCTTTTTCTGGTTATTTGGCTATAACTTTTCATACAATGCAGATTATTGAAGAACCTTGTTGCATTACATTCTTGATTAAATTCTCTTTCCATTGATACATAATTTTATGGTACTACTCCAAAACAAAGTAGTGTTATTAGCCATCAAACCTCAAAAATATATTTTTCCCTTGGGGAGCGGGGGTCTGTTTGTGGCCTAATAGTATGAATAGAAGAGATGACTCCACCAAGCCGCACTAAAAGCCTCCAATACAGGAAACACAATGTTGCCAGCCAATCAAAAAATGCTACAAAACAGACAGAAGATATTAGAAACACGAATCAAGCAGAACACAGCAAACTCCAAGACCAATAAACACAGACCAAGACTCCCAACCAATCAGGATGAAGAAAAAAAACCATTCTAACATAGCAGTAGGCTAGCACCAAATTTAAAACAGAAATGGCTGTGAAGCCTGACTCACAGACGAACACAATACACAAGCCTGATGATGGCAGATGAGATTCTGCCGAAACATCGCTATAACTTTAAAAGCACAACTATAATGACGTGGGAAAATACCTGAACAAAGCTGAATATAAATACCCGCGAAAACTTAAAAAAACAGAACATGGCAAACTAGGAGAAAAATATGCTAATTATACAAACCTTATAGGTTAGATTTGGTTAAGTCGAAGCAAAAAGTGAAATTTAATTTTCTGTTTTTCTTTCTCTTTTTTGGTGCATATATGAAATAGAAAATGTAATTGATTATATAAAGGACATGAGAAAATAGAAAATATTATAAATTAGAAGGGATTATATTGGAATGTAAAGTATTCATATGCTTAAAAGTAGGGGAATGAAAACTTATTAAAATTATATAGGTAAACTTTGGCTAAACGGAAATGAAGAAAAAATATGAAATTGTTAAATGAATATCTCTGGAATAAATATAAGATATATTGTAGATTGGGGGATATACCATGTAGATCCTAAATATATTAGTTTTATTTTATTTTTACTCTTTTTTGATTGTCTACTATATATTGGTCTTGAGAAAGTTAATGATGATAATAATGTATAATGTAAAATAAATAGGTGGCAAGCTGAAAATGGAAATAACAGGGGATAAAGAATTTAAAATATATGCGAAGATGAAATGATCTTGATATTGAACTGATGAATTGAAATATGAAATGGAAACTTATTCAAGGATTAGAATAATGGATGATGACTTGATGTGATGTTAAACAAGAAAGTTGAAAATATAATTATGACTATGCATAAATGTTGTAATCTGGAACCACGTTGCTCACGTGAAGAGATGTGTAAAAAAATAAAAATAAAAAACTTTTTATTAAAAAAATGATTTTAAGACAACAATATGAGGGAGGCAGTGGGGGGGAATACAAACTAAATCATTAATACAATTTGGCAATAAGATTAGGCAATGTATTTGTAGCTGCACCAAAGTTTTCAGTGTAGCATACATCCTGGGACTTCTTTCCTTAGCATTTTTTTTTTTTTTTTGCTTGAAGGAGACTTAATACTGTAGATTCCTGACTCTTGTTTCTTCCTTTTTTCACAGCGAGCTTGCATTGATTTTGCTATCAGTGCCAAGCCACTAACCCGACACATGCCTCAAAACAAGCAAAGTTTTCAATACCGTATGTGGCAGTTTGTCGTTTCCCCTCCTTTTGAATACACCATTATGGCCATGATTGCCCTGAACACCATTGTCTTAATGATGAAAGTAAGTAGATATTGCTATGAATTGGTACTATCTACACTGAATCAGTAGTGGGATTCAAAAATTTTTACTGCTGGTTCTATGGGCATGGCTTTGTGGGCATGGCAGGGGAAGAATACTGTAAAATCTCCATTCCCACCCCACTCCAGGGGAAAGATATTGTAAAATCTCCAATCCTTCCCCACTCCTGGGGGAAGGTTACTGCAAAATCCCATTCTCTCCCCACCCCACTAAACTGATTTCCAGTTCCGTTCTCCTGTGCAGGGCAACCAAAGAAGACCCAGCCAATCAGCTAGGACTCGGGAGGCAGGGAATAGATGAGGGTGGGGCCAGTCGGAGGTAGTATTTGCCAGTTCTCTGAACTACTCAAAATTTCCGTTACCAGTTCTCCAGAACTGGTCAGAACCTGCTGAATACCACCTCTACACTGAATATATATCATATGTATCTTGACTTGTCCATATATCATATACTGTATATACACACACAAACAGATGTGCACACGCACACACACACACACCCCTATATAATTATTTGAGCTCTGGTTAATCTCACCCTATTGATCTCCCCTTAATTCTGCTGACTAATTCCTGAACTATGGACTAACCTGAGTCTTCATTGTATAAACCTTACTTTGGGTCCTAGACTTTTAGATCATTGTTCAGATCACACTAATTTAATTAATGATTGTGCTGTCTTTCTCTCTTGTCTCTCCCTCATACCCCCCTTCAATAGTTCTACAATGCAACAAGTCTTTATGATAATTTATTAAGGATGTTCAACATTGTCTTCACTGCCCTGTTCTCCTTGGAATGTATTCTGAAAATCATTGCCTTTGGAGTGCTGGTAAGTATCACTCTGGCTAGAATATACAAATTCCACTGTAAAATATAAGCAGCATTCCGCTACCATACAATAGGAAAAAATACATTACACCTTTTTTAAGGTAACTATTTAAGGCATCTATCCCACTATAGGTTCTCTAGATTCTCAGGCATTGTCTTCTATATCAGGGGTCGCCAACCTTTTGGACCTCAGGAACCACCAAACTCATAATTTTAAATCCCGCGGACCAGAGACCCTGGGAAAATCCCCAAAAAAGTCTGCAGGAAAATTCCCCATCCCGTTTTCCTACCGATTGATCATTCTTTATTTGAGATCGCAGGATACCGTCTCCAGCTCGGGTGGGATGGAGAGAGACTTTTGGCTTCATGCAAGGAAAGCAACAGAAGTAGCAGAAGTCTTTCTTTCTCTCCCCCAAACTCCACTAGAAATGAGTCTTTGTGAGACTTGTCATGCTGACGCAGCCTTTTGGAGCAGGATGCCTTGCAGGGTCCCAAAGACTCATTTCTGGCGGAGTTTGGGGGAGAGAAAGAAAGACTTCTGCTGCTTTCCTTGCGTGCAGCCAAAAGCAGAAGAAGAAAAAGGCAGAAAGAAGCAGCCCAGTGGCCAGCCGAAGCACGGGGACCGAGTGGGGCAAGTTTCCCCCCCTGCCCTTTCCTCCCTCCCCTCACTACCTCATGTTGTTCGCAATGCAAACCTTGTGTTCCTGCCCAGCCTGGATTAATTGCTTTGGGGGTGCTTTTGGGGTGCCATTTCTCTGCAGACCACCAAAATTTTCTCGTGGACCACCAGTAGTTCCTGACCCACTGGTTGGCAACCACTGTTCTATATAATGCTACAAGAATGTCAGGAATTGGCCATTGAAGGTCATTGGAATAATCTGTAATTTACTAGGGGTATAGAAAAACAGACTAATGATTGGCTTCCCTTAGTGTAGTTCTAATTATATACACTTCATATATCCAAGTTAATGTTCTAGCTTTTAAGCTTTTAATTACAATTAACACTTTTAATTTAAAATAAAAAATATGTTTAAAATTATCAGCTGTAATATAAGATTTATTTGATAGAAGTAGCTCCATATCTCAAAAATAGTTATTACTAATTGATTTCTAGACAACTCCTCAGAAATAATAGTCACCTGAACACTGAAAACATCCCACGCAAATGTTAATTGTTTGTTAGCCTATTCTTGATGAAGGTGTTGATCCTTCCACTTGAGCAAAAGCTAAAAAAAAACCCAAAGTACGTGTTTTCAATGTTGAGTCCATGGTAAAGATCTTGGCTTTCAATTGGAAAAAAATATATCTGGACAAACCTTGACCTCATTAGTGTCTGTGAATATTTAAAAGGAAAATAAAATCACCATAATTTTATAGGAACAAAAATCTGTTACAATCAATATTGTGAGAATTGCCCAAGGGAAATAAGATTCCACAAGACCAACCTACCTTTAAAGAAACAAAAATACATGCTTAGAGCACAAAGTATTCCTTGCTGCATAAGGGTCAATGTGTAATAACTAAACCTTTGATCTTTCCCCACTCTTTACCTTCTTGATTGCCAGCTCTTCAGGCAATTGATGCTTCTAAATTAATAGTATCTTAAGCAATGATAATTCATAGTATTACATTTTTAATGGTTAGAAAATGACCTTCCTATTCCTCACTGCTATGTTTTATGTATCTATTGAGGTTATTCTCCCCTGTAAAATTACTTGGTTTAAGATCTTACTCATCCTAACATCTTTCTATTTGCTTTTCCAATGAGCTAAATTTTACTTATCAACAGTTTTGCCATTACTTAGTCAGACTTTAGATACCTTTAAGCATTTTTTTCTTTAATGGAATGCCCAGGTTCAATCATATTATTAAGCTCATGTGTGTTGCATTTATTTTATAGCCGTTTATGTGACTGTCCTATAGATAAATGTAGTGGAATTAAGGAAAGTTGTACATAGTTTCTGGTTGCTTGCAAGACAGGAATATGTATCTTGGCTTCACTGGGTTGCTTCAGGTGCTCACTCAGCACATTTTGTAAGCAAGCTTTCCCCTACTCTCATATGCTGAGTCAAACTTATGACCAATAGGTAGATACCATAGGTTTCTGAGTATGTGACCTGAGTATGTGACACAGCCACTACTTCAGAAAAAAAGGATGTATACAAATAATCCTTGGTAATGGAAGTTCCCTTGTAATTTGAATAGTAAGAATTGGAGTATACTAAAAAAATAACCCAGAGCTTATTAGGGGAGAAGGTAACTAGAGTGGAAATTCCTCTGTTCTTGTTATTGTTGCTTCTGTCGTGACTAAATGTTGTCACCTGTTTGCTGCTGTGTGGCTGTTCCTTTTCGTCCTTTGTTTTGTTCTTTCTTTATAGAATTATTTCCGTGATGCCTGGAATATCTTTGATTTTGTCACAGTTCTGGGTAGCATCACAGACATCTTAGTGACAGAGTTTGGGGTAAGTTCAAAACTGGTGAGCATGACATTCTGGGGGAGGGAGGCATTTTGCAAGGAGTGGGGAATAAAAATTGACACACAAGAAATTCACCATATTAAACTGAGATCATAACAGGAGAGAAATCAGAAAAATCCAAATAGGAGATAGTACAAGGATAATTTTGTGAGACTTATTTATTCACCTGTTAATAGTTTCCCCTCCTCCAAAACAAATTTAAGATGTCAACAATTAATTCCACATTTTTAGTTCTTCATTAAAAGGTTAATATATAGGTAGGCCCTAATATTTCTGACCTTTAGGAGTACTCATTTTATTAAAGACCTTTATTTTGGCATAAAATCAGAAGAGCTCAAACAAGACAATTTACATTGGAATAAAGATGGCAATGTCCCTCTAGAAAGGTGCTTATACCAATCTTAATCTGACTCTTAATGTGGTTATTATTAATTGTTAAGTCCTTTTAATATGCAATTTGCGATCAATTGAAATCAAAGAGCAAATTAGGGTTAGGATTAATTTGCACTTTCCAAAAGAGATATATACATATTGAGGAGCAATTAGCATATAAGTTTGTCAAGTAGGACAACCTAACAGACCAGACCAGAACTATTAGTGTAGTGCAAGAAGTTAATTTCCTAAGAATGCAAAATACTCAATAGATGAAGGTGATTAATGCAACCTTCATTAATAGGACTGTTTTGGTATTGCTTTATTAGATACTTATATCAGATGTGTTTGGGTAATTCCGTTAATCCAAGGTATAGAGGTACAGATATCCAAATCTTCCTATAACTGTTTCTTTGAAATCAGCAGGAGTAAGAATCTTTCTCATTTCCCTATTCAATATCCAGCCATTTCTATGTTCACCCCATGGAAAAACAAAAGGGAAAGTATTCATATCTGTTCTTTTCCTGAGCTAGGCTATGTTATTATTTCAATCAAGATGAAACTTCTCCCTCACAATTTCTTCCCCATGCTGTTTCACGATCAAACAACTTCTCTTAATAGTTTTGAAGTGAAGAAAAAGATGCTGGAAAAATCAATAACAGATCTTTTTCTGTGTGTTTACAAGGTTTGGGCAAGGAGGGATATTGGATTATAAATTCTGGGACAGTACATTATTGCCTTTGCCAAATCCAGAGCATATTCTACTATCATAGTGGGGGAGATTATGTGAATTCCTACACATCGGAGGGATATACTAACAAAGCCCTGGACTAGTCACAGTTTTAGGATGAACAGACTCACCTTGCTTTTCAAGTATTAAAATGCACGCTTCCAACATGGGCTAGTAATCAGCATCATATTTATATTATCTGCAGAGAAACTGAGGAATTGGGTTCTGAATAACTTACAAAATATAGAGCACAACAAAGATGAGGCTCAGGGTTAGGAAAATAGAATGACAAATTGAAAACTTTGTGTATATGGTTAACTACTTCCCTTTCATTAAACTGTGTGTGTGTGAAAGCATACACATACCTGAGCATTTATAGAGTAGTTTGGTGGGTTTTATTTTGTTCATGATTCTATAAATAAAGAATGTGCCCAGATCAGCAGGGGTGAGGAAACAGCTATACTAATAGGATTTTTCAAAAATAAGTGTAATCTAGATTTTGCAATTTGATATCATTCATTTCTTTAGAATTGAAAGGTTTATTTAAACACACTTTGCAAAAGAAGGAAGAGATTACAGATGGAAGCACTGCTTTAGTTAATCTATGAATTCAGAATGCTGTAAGTAATTGCAGAAATTGTTGTTGGTCTTGAAAAGGTTATCAAAGCCAAATCAAACTCCCAAGGAATTATAAATTTATAAAAATGTATTTCTCTAAACACTTTTAATAACATTTTGTAAAATTCATTTTCTCGTAGAGTTAGTGCTGGACATCAGTTGTCTTCAAATTTTGATGACACTCTGACCTTTCTAGAAATTTAGCTGACTTTTACAAAGTAAAATTCAAACAAATTTACCCTATTACACTGCACACTATTCCGCCTAAAGACATAATAGTGAATGTAACTATACCTGAAAATAGTATTTATTTATTGATCATTTCTGGCCAAAAATGCTTTCAAAGCAGCATATTTGAAAGTATCAAAATGAGAACCGAATGATTTCCTAACAAAGGTAGTTCCAAAGCATATTGACCTCTGTTAAGGTGTACTTTGTATCGCCTCCAAGTGAAATTGCAATAGTAAATTTAGAACTGATGTTTTCACCAAAAAGGCAGGATCATATATTCTCTTGGTTTAATAAAGCTGGCCAAGGCATTTTTGACTGAACTAGAATATGGAATGCTATCCAGACCAATAGTGAGGATGCATATTAATCACAGCTGGTTATTTTGTTAAATGGACTTGAAGGTTCTGTTGGTATATTCCCCTACATTAAAGGAAAATGTTCTAGTAAATTAATTTGCTTACAATCTGATAGTTTTTCATGAAATCTCAGGTCAGATGCCTGAGGGAACCTTCTCATGTTGCCAGGCCCCTGATTTGTGATCAGAAACAGAGATTCTGAAGAGAATAAAGAACAATAAAAGGACAATTTGTACCAAAGTTCTAAATAACAATCTGGCTGCAATATTCTGTGATGGACATAGTTTCCAAAATATTTTCAAAGGCAGCTCATAAAACACATATTTTAATAAGCTGTATTAAACATTGAAATAAACATTCCAATCTGAATATTAATAATATGTGCGGAAACCATCAAAATTCTCTACCGCTGCTCACTCATGCAAGAGGAAAACTGAGTGTAGAAGCATTGACCTTCATTGTAAGAACCCCTGGCTTAAAATTGGCAGATACTTCACATGGAATGGTTAGATCAGAATCTATTGCATACTAGGATATAGTATCTTTGGATATAAAAATACATTTCCTTTCTATGCTCATGGCAGCTTTAATCTGGAATTTCCTTCCACCATTTCCATAATTTAAAGGACACCTTGCCTTGTATTTCCAAAGTCAGGCTTGGTGACAATATAATTATCAAATATAGCTACAGTAACTGTCATCCACATAATGATGACAAACCAACCCAAATATCTGAGCCATGCGTAAGCCATTACATAAAGGCTATTGAGTAAAACATTGTGATATAGATTACTGGCCATATGGTTAAAGAGAAAGTAGTTTATAGTAGCATCATATAAAGTCTATGTACTGTATGTCTGGAACTAAAGAGTATTGCTAAATCTTGTCCCAGTCAGCTAACTCAGAGGTGTGCTGTGTTCTGTCTTTCTGATCTTTTGAAAGATCTCCCAGAAATGTTCCCCCTCTGGTTTGTACCATAGGTCAACCACAAGAACAATGATTTTTATTTATCCTAGATCAAAACAGGTAAGACTTTTTGGTAGAACTGTGGTGATTGGGTAATTTGAGTCACTTAACTTTTAGCTCAGCTTAGGCTCCAAAGGAAATGCTGCAAAATTATTTTTGCAACATTTCCTTTGAAGCTTTGGTAAATTCTTGCCTAATTCCAGCTCCTGGGGTGTTCTTACCTTTCCTCTTGCAAAGGAGCAGAGATACCTTCCCACCATCTTTTATAATCCAGAGGTTCTCAGAAGGAGACTTTTTCACAGCACAATGACCAGTTGGGGTTATTTTTGTTGCCTTTGTTTCCTTTCATTTCTGTGCAATTGTATTATATAGGTCATCTTTGCTTTCCCAGACATCAAACAGCATTTCCTCCAGTTGATGACAGGAAGATCCCTAATCTATATGTGTTCCTTCTATGTGCATGTGCTTGCCTTTTATAATTGCCTTTCACACTTATGATGAAGTGGATAGAGACCAATTAAAAGCTTACACTATGATAATTTTTTTTAAAAGATGCCTATCCCTTAGATACTTATCTAAGTATTTAGATAAATCAGATTTGGAGAGTGGGCTGTTCTTCCCTGCATAAGATAGGAATGTTAACAAGTTTGCTGTATGCCAAATGGACATCTGTCTAAAACAAAGTCTATATACAAATTCCTTATTTGTTTGATTCTTTCTTTACCAGATTTACTTGCTGCTCCAATCAAAGCCTCTGGATGGCTTTAAATGTTGTACTTACATGATATGTTAACTCTAATATCTGAGAAAGATCATAATAGTCATGGAGCCCAGGAACAAAGGTGCCTTAATGCAGCATTTAGAAGCAAAATGTGTGGCAAAACAAAGCCTCATATCTTCCTCATTCATCAATTTGTGTCCTGCTGAGACCCTCTGGAGTGAAACAGTTTATAAATCTAACACAAACATACATACCTTGCAAGGGTTAGTAATTGCAATTTGAGTTATTCTTGCTGCACTTAATGTGTCAAAGTCCAAGAAATGCAAATTCCACAATTCTGGAATCTGATGAAGTGTTGTTTAAGTTTCTGAATTTTATCTTAGGGGAGAAAATACAGTATGAGCTTCCAAGTGTATTTCACTAAAAGAGGCAGATATTCTAAGGAATTCAAGCAAGTTTGCTTAAGTGCCATGCAAGTTACACAGCACTTTAATTTAAACTAAACATTGATTGAATTAATTTTCTAAAGAACACTCTTGTAATTTAATGCAAATGTAACTAAAATTATTAAAATTATTTCTACGTGAAAAAATAATTTAATATACTAATATTCAGATGTGATTTATGATTTGGTTTGTCTGTTGGTGTCTGCATGTCAGTTACTTTCTAGAAGTAATTTTTTTAAATTATAGCCCATGGCCCCACTTTTCTCATGTCTTTACCCAATTAAGTCATCAGCTCAGTTGTTTTCAATGTAGTATTTTCCCCCTAAGCTGACATTCTACCATAGCTTCAAGGTGTATAAAATCAGATTTTGGCAGTATTAACTTGGAGATTAGGAAAAATGTGGTTGTGTGTGAGAGAATGAAACCAACAGTGGGATTGTTAGAAGAAATGAGTATGCCCTGTCCATTGTAATGTTCTTATTGAATAGTGACTGTAGCTAT